GTACAGGCCAGGGCACAGGCCCAGGCTAAGGCTGAGGGTTGAACCCAGGCCAAAGTTGGAATTCCCTCAATTCTATCCCCTCTTTCCAGATTCCCCTGATCCTACTCCTGTCCATGCTGCCAAAGCAGACTTTGCTCTCAGTGAGGCACTACAGCCCTGACTATTATAAGTGTAGCAGTCCTAACTCCATAAATTCAGAATTGAGCCAAAGTAAAAGGAGACCAAGGGATAATAACTAATTTAGCACCTTCACTGACTGTCTCTTGAGACTAAAACTTAACAGCTCCCCACCTATGATGGGATCTTTAGCAACAAGCCACTATTGCCAGTATTATTCCCTGCTAAACCATGTGGATCACCTTGCTTGCCAAGGAGGGCTGTGTGTGCACGTTAGATACGCAGAGTTGGCGTGCTCTGAAGTATACATATGGATGTACAGGCTATATTCCATGTTTCTTAGACTCTGACAGAGAATCAGCAGCCAGCAGTTGGTTCCTGTTGGCTGCCACCTGCCTGTTTATACCTGGAAATCTCAGAGCATTCACTTTTTCACTGAAAACATTGGTGTCAGAGGCATGCAAATGACAAGAAGAAAATTCATTAGGATGCTAGAAATACTTCCTAATGATATCAGGTGGGAACCTAGGTATTAACAAATTTCTTACAATACCTCAGCCGCAATGCAAGAAGACTCCCAAATGGAAAGTACCTTACAAACTTTTCCAGTGTTTTGACAAATGAAGGACCAACGGTTACCTGGCTTAACAAGAAATTCACATGCTGTTCAGACACAGCCTAATAATTTCCAGCATAACCATGTAAGTGTAAACCATGGCAGTTACGCAAGGGAAGGGAAGTGAAAATAAAACTTTCAGGAGTGCTTTGTAAAATTCTTTCTCACTTCTGGTTCAAGACAACTCATCTCTTCCTGGTTTTGAATATTTCATATATAAACAATGCAGTCAAACATTTGATCTGCATTGCCATTATAACGGCCTTGATAATGAACATTATTATAATTATAGTTTGGTCATAATTAGGCATGAACTGCTTCAAGTTCTTAGGCTTATACTTAATCAATTATTGCAGATTTCTGTTAGAGAATTTCAAGGAAAATAAGCCTAATATTTGCAAGTCAGCAGCTCATCTTAGGTACCAGATATTAAAAATTCCACTGTAATGCTAGAGCAGTTCCAACTAATGTATAACAAAATTAGAAAACCTTTTCATTAATGCAGCATATGATAAATTCAAAAGTCTGAGAAAGAATAGTCCATAATTCCAACGGATCAAGTTAAACACAAAAAAAAATTCATTTCTACACAGTGAGAAATGGCTGCATATTTAAAGGCTATGAAGAGTAAAGCTGGGAAATCAACAATATCCACAGAACTAGATCCAACTTTTGATTAGTGTCAAAACATGTATATTTCACATAGCACTCAAAAATTAGGATTCATAAAGCATATTCTATTATAATTTTCTGCACAGTTTTAACAGCAAAAAAAAAGTAATATTGGAGACTGAAAAATAGTGCTTTCAATTATCAATAAAAATGCTGGTTTCTTAAAGGCGGCATATCTATCTTCTAAGGGAAAAACCAGATGCAGGCTATCACACACTGCAGCACTGAATATTTCTATCAATAATGCCAATTTTCCTAGTTATTTCTACCACTGAAGAAGAATATGAGCTCTGTACAACTGTGCTATAAGAAATAATTCAGCTATATATTCTATTTAAAATAGCATGAGATATTATCATGTAATTGTTCAGGTATCTGTCCTCATGTTTAAGTGATTACAAATACCTTAAAAACCACCCCAAAAATCTACTGAAACCAGGAACCCACATAATGTCATCTGTGGAGGAGGATAATGATTATCTCAATATTCTGTTACAGGAAAAATGTATGTTCATATTCCCTTTCTGAATGCATCATAGGTACACACAGAAGCCCAAAAAGTCATAAAGACCCTTCCTTAACTGGAAGGTTCTCTAATCTCTAAATTGAATCTTTAGTTAATTTTTCAGAGCTCCCTAAAAACCAGGTTTCTTACCTGGAAAAATGTGCTGAGATTTTATAGTGATCTACCTGCACGGCTTATTTTTCTCTGCAAATCAGGATTCTATGAACCACACAGATCTGAATCACAACCCAACACAAACTTACCAAACAACCACTTAGGTTAAATATCTTTGTATGAGAACAGTGGATTGCAGATGTGGAGGAATGATGTATAAAGCAGTTAATAAAACCTGATACATACAGAATCACAGAATATTCTGAATTTGGAAGGAACTCACAAAGATCATCAAGTCCAACTTTTAAGTGCACGGCACACATACAGTGATCAAACCCACAACCTTGGTGTTATTAGCACTATGCTCTAACCAACTGAGCTAAATTGTCTCTACTAATCCTCTGAAACACTTGTCAGCCATCTCTGGTTATGACAGGTGGATTATTTGTTGCAAGTAAATTATAAATATCATTCAATAGAGAAGGTTTCATTAGCTTTTGAAGATGGAGAAGGTTTTTTGAAAGTTGAGGAGGGAAGTTAAGGGACAGAACAAAGATAGATTATATCAGTGATTTCCTAAGTAAAATTATTTCAAAAGGTTTTAAGCAACCTTGAAACCAAATTTGTGCTAAAAATTTGATATTTGAAATCAAATCTGATATTAAAAAATTAAAAACTCTCCAATTTAATTAATCACATATTTTGATATCAAGCAATTAAAGCAGTGGATTACAGAATATTGTATCTTGTTCACTATTATGACATTTATATTTTCTAAAAGTGTTTTGTAAATCTTTTTTAAAAGATTTTGCAAAAACTTTTTTATCTTTTGTTAAAGATCTAAAAATTGCTTTTAACCTTTTGAGGTTTCATCAGTAAAATTCCCAGCTATAAGGCTGACTATATAAATTGATAAAAAATCTTAGTTTTTTTAATTATATTTAATTATATGTAATTATTAGCTATGTATTATAATGAAGCATGGAATTAAGGAATGTTTGAGGTTGCAAAGAACCTCTGGAGGTCACCTTGTCCAACCTCCCTGCTCAGCCATGGCCTCCTGCAACAGGTTGCCTCAAACCACGTCCAGACCACTTGACGAGCTCACTGGGCAATCTGTTCCAGTGCTCAGTAACCCTCACAGTAAAATAATGTTTTCTTATGCAGAAAGATTTTCCCTATTTATAAAGTTTTTTCCCCTTATGAATGCTTTTCTTATGCATTCAGATTATCATATGTACAGGCTAAATGCCTATTTGTAATTTCCGTGCATGAGAAGCTGAATTCGCTCATAATCGCTTTTAAAACAACAGAAGTTTTATGAGATGGATGTCTGTTCTCAACATGAACAAAATTATTATTTTAAGAGATTATCTAAGTACCAACAGGATTGTTTTACCCTGCAGGCTGACATTTGGAATTGCTCTGGTTGGACTATCATCCAAGTCAGATAAATTCCCCTTTATTAGAGAAAGAGTGATTACTCTTTTTTTTTTTTTCAATCTTCACACATATAAACTTGCATACATATTGCTTGATCAAAGCAAATATGACTCTGCTGATATTCATTATCATCTGTTTGTAGTAAGTATTCTACTTGCATAACTTAATCTAAGCACTTGATTTATTAAGTGCTTGATTGAAGCAGAAAGTCTTCTTTACCATATTATTTACGTTTTGACTTTGCGTATCTGTGCCAAAGTTGATTTTTAAAATTGACTTTAGAAAAGTTTTGCATTCCTAGCTTTTTTATACTAACATATCCCTAATACCAAAGTATTAACTATACACAAACCATTTTTTCCATCTAGACATATTGCCTAGAAAAAAACCCACCATATCTTCTTCGTTTTCCAAAATAAATTTTTATATCAAGTTTTCAATATTTTTTCTTTATGTTGTTTACATAAAAACCATGTATGTATGATCCCCTGCAATATTAAACTTGAAATGTTTATGACCACCTATTCCAAGTATTATACAAGCATTATCAGTGGATTAAAGTATTATTAAGAAAAAACAACCTATTATTAGTTCCACATACATTCATTAAGGTCAGAGAGCATCTAAATCTCAGAAATGCTCATTATAGCCCATATACACAATTGTATAATAAAATTTAAGTTTTAAGCTTCTATCTTCCATCAGTTAGAAAATTTTTTATATTTAATCTACATAGTATACAATTGTCAGGGAATAGGTAAATATTTTACTTGTTTGAGAACTCAGTTATCAGTTCCTCTCCCTTATACACTGAGATAGAATCACACAATACTGGGTCTTTTTTTTTGAAACTGAGGACAAAAATTATTTTTCATGTTTTATGAAAAGTATTGAGAGATAAAACTTGCCAGATCTTGAAACATTAACCAAAACTAACATTTAGTTTCTGGCTATACCTAAGACTTTTTTTAGTTGAAGCACACATATTCAGAAAGGTGAAGTTTTTTAGTATCTTTGTTGGCCTGACAGTAGGCCTTAAGGCTCCTCAGATGTTGCTTCCGTAACTACTGCTGTACCAAGAAGAATTAAGTTGATCAGATCTATGCTAGTTCTAGGTAGCCTATGGAAATACTACAGCCCTTTTCCTTCCATGCTTCTTTGATGGGCAGTTCCCTCGTTTGCTGCTTGGTCTGAAATTCAGTAAGGGCTGGGACAAGTCATTGCCTCTAGCAGATGCTGACAATTGCTTTAAGAGACAGCCTCTCCTGGATATCTCTCTCTGAGTTTCTGTTGATACACTTAATCTCTGGTTTATGAAACTAAAATAGATCTTAGCTCTCTGGGCTTTCAAGTCAAAACATTTCTTGTTTGCTCATTTACTTGTTAAATCAAGTATATATTTTTGCAGGTGTTGTTACTGTAAAATTTAATTTCTGAAAATTACTCCAAAAAACATAAGCAAGATAAGGCTGGAGTGTAATTTATCCCTTGACCATCGAAGAAAATCAAGAAGTGTTAGAGAATAATCCATACCTTGTGGCGTAATCTTATTAGGGGTTGATAGGGCCTAAAGTCGTACCCTTCCTTGACTGGCCACCCGTCTGCTCCCAGCAAAATGCATCCAAGAAGTAAAACAGTAGACCACCACATAAACATCTTTACAGGTCTGTTTCTGTCAAAATAAAATGTAAGAGTTCAGTGATGTCATATTACTTTGGCATGAGCCATATAATAAAAGTTTACAATACTGATATTCCATTTGTGGACTTGAATAAATATGTAGATATAGGGCAATCCATCTGGCATAACAGTAAAGACAGTAGCATTTGGTTGTGTATATCAATGTAATATCAATTTGGTTGTGCTGAACAGAGCAGTTTCTTATCATATGAGACAGTCACTGAGGAAACAACCAGGAAAAACCACAGAAAAAAACCCAGAACATAATAGAAAAGCAGTGGTGAAAAATGCAAAACGTTTTCTCAGATGAAGGAAAAAAAATGACCAGCAGTCAACTTTTTCTTTCAAATATAGGCTCTCACAATGCACTGTTCACAACCTTAAAGGTCTATAACAATCATACACATTTATAGATACATATGGCATGAGAGTTTCTTTATGTGGTTCCTAATGGACCTACAAATGTGCATTTTGTCAGCTTTTTTTGAATCTATAAGAAATATGCAATAATCATTACTGATATTCAGCATTTCTGTTGAAACTATAATGTTAAATAGACAACATATAGAATGGATTCTCATCACTTCAAGACACTCCCAAGTCAGTCTGCTTAGTCTGTGTTATTTAATCCTGCATTATGGGACAGAGATGAACAACTTTCATGCAGGCTGACTTACATGAGTGGTTTGGGTTTTTTCCCCTTTCTGCCTTGCTTTTAGTTCACTTACCCCAACAACATATAAATCTCTGATAAACATAAAGATATACAGGAATAAGTACAAAACATTCTAAGTGTGCCCTGGGAGCACAGAGTGTGTACAGAATGTTAAAGTCTTGCCTGACATTTTCTTTTCTATGGAAAATCAGCTGAGCACAAAATGTGAACAAATTGGGGATCACTTATTATCCTGTATCATTTACAGTCATGCTCCTGGCAATACTGTTACACAAACTGTGGATTTGATTCCTATCATTCTTCATATCGCAGTAGCTCTCACAGAAAGTCTCTGCCTCTGAAGTTAGAGACTGCATAGAATTAGTTCCTGTGGAGATATTAAAGGTAGTAAATGGACTCTAGTCTCACTCTATTCACAGTCTCAGTAACAGGATCCTACTTAAGCTTGCTACACTACTTTGGGGACTACTCCTTCAAACTTGGTAAAACCTCCTAAAGGTTGCTGTCTGTTTCATTCTCACTCCAGCTGATTTTTTACCAGCCTGCCTTGCTTTCTCACTTGTAACTCAAATCAAAGCTTGACATTTGTACACCATACTACTTTGAGTTTTGTTCCACCAAAACCCACCTCATTCTGGGTCTCCCTAGTAATCAAATTTAACATTTCTTCTTATTTATCATTGTTTATTCCAACAGTTTCCACTTCAATTACCTTTTCTTGGTGCTCCAGCTTTTCTAATATATGTAGTAGAAGTATCTCTCCTAAGAGAGCTCACACAGAATATATTAAGTAAAGAATAATTTGAAACACAGAAAACAAGCTCTATTACAGAGAGTTATTTTACATAAATAATTTGTGACTTATTCTTTTACACCTTTTCTGTAACTGGATATTATACAGAAGACAGGAAATAACACAGTGAATATCTTTTCTTGGGTTCCCCTCATAATTCCACCTAAACAGAGCTGGTAATCAGATGTTCCAGTGGACCTTTACGATGGGATTATTACAACAATAAGCTTACTGACTTGAAACACCAAAAAGGCTTATTACAGAACTCTGAGGTTTCAAGTCCATTGTGGTATGGCATTTTCCTTTACTGTTTCTGTGCTAGTTCTCAGTATGACTGTTATTGGAACAATAAGTCCATTAAAGGAAAAAAAAAAAAGAAGAAGAAAAATCAGAATCTTGACTTTTAATCTCAAAGAAAACATCTCTTTATTGGTATTTGTTAAAAAAAAAAAAAAAAAAAACTTTGAAAATACTTTATTTCTGACTTTCAAGGTCAGCATTCGATTAGTTTCGCACTTGTGCATGCTAAAACTAGCTATGCACAGTTGAAGCTTTGTCCCCTTTATGCACTTTTGGAATATCTCTCCATACAATGAAAATTTGGTTGGAGAACAGTCATTTCACAGAAGATGGTAAGGGCAGCCACATTCCACCACCCTCCCATCTAAACTGTACATATTTTAGCCTCATGTGGCAGAAAAGAATAGAGTCCTTATAGTTTTGAAAATTGTTTGACCTTGAAAGGCTTATTCTTCGCACTTGTACAGAAGAAGAGAAAATTATTACATACTCAGTTTCTGACTTCATTGCCATTACTTGGATGAACACTTAAGACATAAATTTAGAAAGTCAGCTTTTTGGGCATATGCCGCCTAAAATCCCCAAATTATACAGGGTGTCTGCAGTTATTATTTGCTTTTTTAGAAATTAAAAAAAATCAACTTTTTTTCCAAGTACCATAAATTGAATTTATTGCACATCTTTTAAAACTACTAGCAAAACCACAGTTCTACTTAAAACAGTACTAAGTGTTCATTTTAAGAAAAATTATGATCTGTCCTTAAAGGCTTACACATTAAAGAGTTGAACTAAAGAGCAGGAATAAAAATTACTTTTCAAAGCTTCCCTACATCTCCAGATTTTGTTGCTGCGCATAGGTGAACAGAAAGAAATAAGATACAAAGTCTATATATTCGTGTTAACTAAAATTACTTTCTTCTTTTTTCTTCTTGGAGGTACAGCACAAATGATAAGTAAAGGATTTCTGTACTTTTTTTTTTAATGTTGTATTATCAATGGATCAGAAATCGTGGTTTTATGCTATGCATTCTAGGGCAAAATTACATATATCTGAGCTCAGTTTTGCAATATGATCTAGACTTTATTTACTCATTAATTATAATCCGGTAGAATCTGATGTTTCAGTGTTTAGATAACATTCTTCTGTGTTTTTAACTCCATTAGTTATATATTTGTAAAGGAGTTGCTTTTATTTTTTTATTATAAGACTATTTTTATCTTCTCTTTCTTTTTAGTTTGTTTCAAGTCATTCAGGACATACTGAGTTTTAAGCTGTCAAATTTTCCGTATCATTAAACTTGAATATATGAATGACTACAATTACTTAGTATGCTTTTACTAAGTGCACAGGATATATTAAGTAGTGTATTTTTCACTAGAACTGAAGATAAGTGGGCTTAAGAAATTTCAGGGTCAAACAAATGATTAATTTAGTTAAATTTTAGAATCAAAACTATGTTTCACAGGAAAATGCTGAAAATAAAAGATTTTAAGCAATATTAATACAGATTTTAATAAATACTTTGAAATATAGGGCTCTTGAGTATAAACAACTTAGTTTTTTGTATATTTCTGCTATCACTGCTTAGAAAAGTGAAAGAAAGAGTTCTACTTTAATGTCCCAGACAGTATATATACTACACAGAGCTTTGGAAGGGGTGGGGACTTAATCAAAGATAAAGAAGGCACAAATTTCACTTTCCACCTCTCAGGGAAATTGGCACAGACTGAAATTTAGGATCTGAATTAAGCAAACGCACAGCCCAAGAAGACCATGGAGAGACCAGCTTTGAAAGAAATGTTCCAAGAAATAAGCAAGTGTTATTCAATTACGTTTGACAATTTCAGTGAAATGCTATTGAACAGATAGTTTTCTTTGTGAGTTTGTCACGTCGCTGAGGCATCACCCTGAAAGCAGTGTAATGAGTTTGGTTTTGCTATTTAAGTTGTGAAATCAGACTGTCAGGCAGATACATTTCTGACCTTCACCATTTTTTCCAGTGATGTGTTTGTTCATGCAACATACGTAAGAAAATATAAGCTCTACCTATTACAATACATCTCCTACATAAGGAGGATTTCAGGACAAGACAAGATAATAACTTACAAGTTGGTTAATATAATTATGAATAGTCTGCTGCTTTTTACTCAATTCTGAAATTATTTAAGTTATTTTTAAGGCCTTACAGAAGTAAGAAGTAATTCCATCCCCTATTTTCACCATTCTAGTGCTTAAAATGCTTATTTTATTTTTCCCCAATTTCACCAGGCTCTGTCATTAAACAGCTATAAATAAAAATGTATCTTGTTGTTTCCATAAATGTTGCTTCAGTTCTTTATTTGCGCTAAGCACTGATGTGATACTGTAAACAGAGGCAAATATTGTTTAATAACTACTTGTTATTAAATTGGTAGCCAATGGTGGATGTTTGAAAGAAGTAAAGAGGCAGGGATAACATAGTATATTCCCTCGAGTCCATTTACTGCCTGAGCTAGAAACTGCAGCTCACCAATTTGTCTAATAGCCACTGATGGGGACTTAGCTCCTTAAGTTTGTCTCCTTCATTTTTTAATGTATATTTTTTATTTTCATAACATTACATTGGTGTCAAGAGTGTTGTTTCTTTATATTTATATAACTATGTTTAGAAATTTGATTAATTTATTTGGTTACACTCTTTTTAAACAGATATCAACCCGCATCTCTGCGTTTTCCTGTTTTCCTTTTTCTTTCTCTTCACGTTCCTCATTTATAATACAACCTATGGGCTAAAATGTAAAGAAAAATAAAAAAAAATTCCAGTACACCTTTTATTCTATATATGATTTGTCTGCCAATAAACACTGAACTGACATTCTTAAACAACTACTAGCAATAAATCTATATCTCCCGTACTATGAATGCAAACATCTAATTTACAGCTACTCATTGCATGTAAATAATTAGGGTGTGGGGGTTTTTTTTACCCTCACTGCATGCAAATATTTAGGGTGCTGTGTTTCTTTCCTCATGTGCGTTAATTCTCATATTAACAATTACCTTCATGTGCTATTTTAGCATTAAACTGATCTATGTTGTAGGAGTCTTTGGTGTTGTTCTTTGTCAGCCCCAGATTTGCCTTGAAACCCGAGGCACCAGAGTGGAGAATGTGGGACAGATAATGGTTATTCCTCACTTCTCATTGCACAGCAAGTTCTTTGGCATCAAATTTAGATTTTCCTTTCTGATTCTCAGAAAGCTCTGTCATCTCACTTTTTAGCACATTCCCAGAGCATTCGTGAATCTGATGCATCCTGCAGTTTTCTCACTATTGACTTCTCTCCATTTCTGTTACTTCTAAAACTTTGATAAATTATTATCTATGAGAGGATTCTTTTATTCTGTGACAAGTTTGTTCCTTAAAACCCTTTGGTGAGAAGTATTGCTGAGAGAGCTATACCTTCTGAATTGACAGAAGAAATACCTGAGGGCATCTCACTTGCCTCATTTAGGTAAGGGAACTGGAACCCTCAAATATTTTTCAGCAATTTTTCTTTTAAACAAAGGAAACTACATGAAAATAGAATTCCCACCATTATCCCTGATGATCAGCTACTCACCCCCGAGTTGGAGACAATTTCTTCTAATTCTTGAGAAAATGCAAAGCAAACCTGTAGTTCCCTTTTCTCCTCTGATAGTGCTTTTCACCCTTGCAAGTTCAGTATTTTGTGAAAATCAACCTAAATCCCAGTTCTGACACCTTACTTATAAATACCTAATAATGATTAATATATTTCACAACACCATAGTGTGTTTCTTCTCAAAGTTATTATGATTTCTAATCTTCTCAGCAGTTGATTGATAATGTAAAAATTGCTCTCTGCCTGACTCTTCTTTGTTGGACTAGGATAGAATTGTCACTATGAGAGTTTAGCACTATGTTTCCTGTCCCCATGCTGTAACCTTCACAGAAAAGATTGAAAAAATGTCATATTATACACAACCAGTTCCAAATGTGATAATGTATATTTACACAGTGTATTTAAAAATCTAATTAATATAAGCTGGCTTAGCCAGAGTTTATATGAAGAGCAGAAATAGACACAATTTATGAGAATATCCTATTTTAAAAGGTATGATATTTAAAATTAATCCATTTCCCATTTTCAAATGCTTTTTTCCAAAATTTCTCAGCTATTATACTCTCTTCTGGGTTAAATGGTGACTAGCCAGGATATTTGGCATTAAGAACAGAAATATAATTCATTTGAAAACATAACTCTTTCACCCCAATAAACTTATCTGATCAACTTAATGCCTCTACAAAGTATAATAAATGAAATCTTAAATACCAGTTTGATCACTGCATTCTTCCTACCTTTAAAAGAGAGGACACCTCAGATATTAACCTGGCGTTATTTAACAGGTCACTTTTAACATATCAAGGAGTAGTACTGTATACTCTCAGGATATGTCAGTCTCTGTCTTTTACATACTACTAATCTTAATTAAAAAAAAAAGACATAAAATTAATTGTCTATTTTGTGTGGATCAGAAAAAGATCATAAGCTCTGTCACCATATTCAATGTTATTAATAGGTTTATAATACAGTTACAGTAATAAATATGAACCATGCTTCATTGCCTTTGACTTTGAGGATTTCATTGCATGTAATGATGGATGCAAATAACTGTCCAGGAAAGAACAGACTGCTACCATTTCTTAAGATGTCTTTATCTACTCTTATGGTTTCATGGCAGAAAGGCAACTGCAAATAAAGTATTTTTTGTCTAAATAGAGATTATTATATTTCACCGACTTCGAACAAGTAGAAGTAGTCTTAGCTAAAAGCATCTTTTCCCATTAGCCTGCCTCTACTGTACCCTAATGCCTCATATCTTTGTAGAGCCTGTGTCATCAAAAACCTTACGACAGACATTATACTAGAGACAGTATCATAGTCTCTCTCTGAATGCAGCTATAACCCATATTAAGCAAAGTTTGTCCTTGTCAAAATGTTACGTGGAAAGCAGATCACAGTGTTGTGATGGCAGCTCTTGCCCCCAGGACTTGCTGACAGCTCTTGAGCACTGCATACCTCATGCTGTCACCCTCCATTTCTCCTCCAGAAGTGGCAGCCACACTCTGAACCAGAGTTGTTAGGTCACCTTAACTGCGTACAGCAGGCTTGGGGCTTGCAACAGTGAAGTGCAGCGCTGCCACGGCAGCCAACAGTTCGTGCATCTGTGTACCAATCTGTTCCGTCTCTCAGCTGCTGCTTTATGTGGCTACAGCCACTGACTGCTCAGGCACATGCTCTTCAGCCTTCACCCACCAAAAGAGGCTGGCACAGTCATTTTGGAACAGCCAGAGATGCTGCTGACAGCACATGTGCTGGAACACACATGCAGTGAAATACGTTTTTTTAAAATACCTCATGAAAAGCACCCGCCATGCCAGACGAATCCTGCCTCTTCTGATTGCTGCCCATTTCTCCCTCACTCCTTTTCGGATTTAAACTGCAAAACCATCATACTGCACAAGCAGCAAGTGGAGTGCAGACCCTTGCACTCTTGGTCCTGTGTAACTGCACTTGGTCTTTGTGTAGACATTACAAACTTGTCAGGTGTCTCCAAGGCAAGTACCTCAAGGCACCTCCGTGGTGAGCAGCCAGGACAAGGGCCACAATTCCTTGCCTTTCCCTATTACTCTCTGTCCTCACACCACTTGCACTGCCAGGTGCTGGTGGGTAACAGCAGAAGCCAAGGTAGTAAAGTGTCTGTGAGGGTGATGCAAGCAGGATTCATTTGCCCAGGGCTTTTGTAGAAGAGCTTCTTTGGAATTGGCCCTAGAGGCTTACAGTGGTTCACGTGAGCCTGTACACAAGTGGCCTGAGTGTGCCAGGGGCATTTGTGAAAGGTCAAAACACCTAAAACAGAGATGGCAGCGAGAACACTTATCTTTGCTGAAATCTTTGCTGCTAACCTCATGCTCTAATTTAATCTTACCATTTTCTGTATATTATTTAATTATTTATTTAAAGGATGACTCACAGATGCCTTATTGTTAGTGACCCAAGTGTCAATTAATTATGATGAAATGAGAAATGAAAATTTCAAACCATTTTTAGCATGTTCTTCATGTGGTCTCTTAATTTCTTTAATATTACAGAAAGAAGAACAAAATGAAGGTACTGTATTTCACACATCTCAGAGGAACCTTTTTTAATGGATCTGTGTTGGATTTATTGATCTATTTTTTTCCTAAGATTTTAATATCAATGTCAGGGTGGTTTTAGCATCATTGATATATGCAAGTGCAAGTTTGTGGAAGTTATACTGTTAGCAAGGTGATGTCTTTGTTCTCTCACTAAGCAAATTTGTCACACCTGGTTCCTTAATATCCTAGAGGATTAATGTTTACATCATGGCAGTATCTGAACCAATGGGAATTCAATTGCTTCATGTTATGAAATCGGAAATAGTAAACCTGCCAGCCTAGAACTCTAGTGAATAGTTTGATAATGCTAATATTTTACAAAATTTGTAAATTACCACCTAATATACTATTGTGTAACTGTGTACCTTGCACATGCTAGAAAAAAAAGTACTTTGGTTTTCAAGCTTTTGATTTTGTCTCCTTAAATAAAATACAGCTGATATTAGTAAATGGAAGAAGAAACAACAGTGTTGACACTTCTGCAGTAAAGTGTTGTATATTTTGGAGCAGTTATCCTAGAAAAGGTAGAATGGTCGCTTAAGATACAACTTCTTTTTTGAAAAGGTAAACTGCTAAACTAAAGACTGAAATTCTACATATTTGCTATGATATGTTAATCTACCACCCTTATGTTATTCAAGGATTCTTATTATGTTCCCTCTTATTATTTAAGGAAATTCTGGCATTTGGTAAAACATTAGTTACAAACAAAATCATTGAAACCTTTATGCTCTTGAACTCCTTGAATGCATGCTAAACCATATATCTATCATTAATTCAAACAGCCATTATCATCTCTTTGTATGAAGTATTCTGTTTAATGTTACGATTTTATCCCTTTACATCTTTGAAACTCACTGCAGTAAAGTGCTCTAGCCAACAGACATGGATCCCATCTTTTTCACCCAGTTAAAGACATTTTTCAATAACTCATCTGGGTTAAGTCAACACACCTGCTCAATACCACCACGAAAATGGCAAAGACTGGAATGAACAGGTTTGGGTTTTTAACCTCTTATTGGATTTCAAGTAACAAAAAAATTAAAAAGAACTAAAAAGTCCTAAAACAAAAAAATTTAAAGAGAGAAGGTAGCTGAGAGCAGGGGAATTAGTGTTTCAGCAGCCTTCAAAGGTTGGGAAGATAACTAGAGTGCATATCAGAGAGAAATGTGATATGGGAAAGCCTATGACATGCAAGAAACCATGAGTTCCTCAAACACAGAAGGACACACTCTGGTATGACAGAGAGGATTAAACACAACAGTGCAAACACCGACAAGAAATATGAAATTATCAAACCGCAGAGAATAAAGATGCATATGGATTTTGGTCTAATTGGATCGAAACACAGTTCAATCAGTAGCCAAAAGGACTTATGAATGTTGCAGCTATTTAAATAAACAAGGACTATTTGTAGCTAAAGGCAGTTTGTCCTTATCATAATTGAACCAAAAATACATTTGCCCTCCAGTACTCTCCCCTAGGGCCCACATTAATATAATTATCTACTGATGAAATCCTGACCTAATTAACAATATGAAAACAACTCTAAAATCCACATGTGATATCTTGGGTCCAGAATTTTACCCTTTTTACAGGATTTAGTGAAAATATTCACAAGGATGGAAACAAAACTTTAAAATATCTCTGTTAACTAAAATGAAAGAAATTCAAAGTTGATTGTGATTATCTTTAAAAAAAAAATCTATGTCCATTCATATAGTTTCACAGAAATATACAAATAGAGGAAAGTGTTCCATACTTGAATAGCTAAAATAGTTAGAGGTATTTTCTCTATTTCAATTCAACTGCTGTGGAGTTTTTCTCCTCTCTTCTTTCCTGCTTTGTGATGACTTGACTCACTTTCTTCTTTACTGCCAAAAAGGTCAACTTTCTTCATAAGCCTGAATTCAGCACATTACAGAAAACCACACTTGTTCTGTCAGTCATAAAGCTGACATGAGTTCCCAGTGCAATGTGCTTGGACGTTAAAGTCCAAGTGAATAAAAGAAGGATCTTCTCTCCTTATGCAAATGAAATTAATAGACTGAGTATAATAGGAAGGAAACACATAAAGTTCTGAGATTTTATAGAACAAAAAACCTCACCCTATCACACCTGGTAAAAAAAATGACTGTGACAGCTGACTTGGTCTTTTATATTCTACTATCCCCAGTAAATTTTACATCATTACAGGACATATTAATTATCCATGAAACAACTGAAACCTTCTTTAAATTTTGCATAGGTATTTCTAATAAAACAATGCATTTCTCTTATTGTAATGCTCACAATCCTGTCCAATAGGATCAGAAACTTCATTTCCTGCTATGTTTTAACTGTCTTATACTATTTTACTGGATTTTATTGTTTATGTTTTTATATTGCTCTAATATATCTATTAGACAAAAGCCTTCCAGCTACATGCTGGAAAGCTGACAGCAAATCAGAAAACCTACAATGTCCTGATTAGATTGTAGCTAAATAGGAATGTAAAATAAGATTTTTTTCAATAATTCATTAGCTAAAAAAACTGTTACTTCTAAGAAGAATGGAATGGGGATAGCACAAATAAAGAAAGGAGCAGACAGTATGTGGTGATGAACTGGTAGTATGTTAAAGGAAAGTATTTTGTTTCTCCTCAACGACCAATGTTTTCATACATTGAAAACATATTTTTTTGTGTTCATTTATTGACCTAAAAAAAAAAAAGTTGCATATATTTTACTTGTTTCAATTTTTTGAGTGTTTTATTTGCTGGTTTGGGGTTATTTTTGAAAAGGCAAAAAGGTAAATATCTTCAATTTTACTCATACAATAGAAATACAAGAAAAAGTTAATATAAAATTGACTGGTATGAACTTTTCACCATCAATGTGCCACGAAACACAAGAAAGAGCATCTTAGCTATATATATATATATATTTCAGCAAGAAATTAGTGCTCAGATGTCACCACCAGACACTCACATCTGATACAAATTGAGTGCATAGGCAAGAACATCCCATCTCTCTTCTCACATAAGGGCACTCTGAAGCTACAGCCTCAAGCATAACCACCCCACTTTCCTGAAATGTAAGTCTCTACTCCCTTTGTCATCCCAGCTTGACATTATTCCCCAATTTTGAGTCAACCGCATAGACTCTGGGATTGTCTAGGACATCTCTGTGAAGCGCAACACTCATGAAAAGGAGCCAGGAGACACCACTGAACATTCCATTCCAACTGCTCTGTCACAAATGCCTATCAGATGACTGGTGGCAAATGTCCAAGTGCTGCAGCTACACACAGACGCTTTATTGATGAATCAGTTACCGAAGGCACGAATGCATCCGCGGTGCTGACTCACGTAAGCATCCATATGTTATTAGAACTGAAAGCTTCTCTTGCCTCTGTATTTTGAAGGTCTGGGAATGCCTACCCTTCAGCAATTTCAAACATTTCGTGTTATGCAGATGAGATTTTTTGCAAGCCACAAAACAGATAAAACTATCAAAACAGAGAAAACGTTTTTGAAAGTTATTTTGCAGGAGGTTACATATGAAAAAAAAAATCCTCTGGTTCAGCAACATGTAATGGAATCTGAAAATTATTTACAGTCTTGCAGATTTGGCCCACGTTGAAAAATCAGGATTACCCTGCCTAGATATGGAGGGGAAAAATCTACCTTTCTTTCTCATCTTCAGTGTCTTAAAATTGCATAAATGAGGGAATCTGCACATTCAATGAAGAGAGGGAGTAACAATTACTATCCTCCAGAGTAATAGAGCACAAAGATCATGTCAAACCACAGCTGATAGCAAAAGCAGGTCAAACCTCTGTCTGGCTCCTCCAAAAAGAAGGCCTTGGACTCTGTCCTGTGCCAATAGAAAGTTCCAGCAGGAAGGAGTGTCAAAGAAGGATAAAGGCAGTAAATGCAGGGGACCAAACTGATGCATCAAGTTCACTGTTCATCTTGTTGTCGTGGTGTAGGAGATGAGGGAAAAGGGGATG